GGATTTGATTTCGACCGGTTTGGTCTCGTGCTGTTACGGGTATGAGGGCGGTTATCACTTCGCGGCTGCCCACACCGTGGAAGGTTGTTTCTTGAGGGACTTGAAAAAGAAGATAGATTAGTGTTGGTCCTAGAGACACACATTTAGGTGTCCTACAATAGTTGTGTTCCTGGACCTTAAGGCGGCATTTGAATCAGTGGATCGTGAGGTTCTGTGACAGTGTCTGTCATTGAAAGGTGTACCAAAGAAGTACATTAACCTCATACAAGCTCTCTACTCGAACACCACTGGTCGAGTGTGAGCTTATGGCGAACTGTCACGCGAATTCTTTACTTCAAGTGGTGTGCGTCAGGGCTGTCCACTTTCTCCATTCTTGTTTAATTTTATCTTAGACGTCCTCTTAGAGTTAACATTAAGCTCATCAGATTTTTCAGGGGTTGACCTTCTACCAGGAAAGTGGCTTACTGATCTAGAATATGCCGATGACATAGTTCTATTCAGTGAAGACGCTGACAAAATGCAGAGTCTTCTGACTACCATAAGCAACAATGCAAGCATGTTCGGGATGTGGTTTTCCCCCTCGAATTGCAAAATGTTGCTTCAAGACTGGGTTTCATCGGCACCTGAACTAGTGATAGGGAGTGAAGTAGTCGAACGTGTAGACCGCTTCACTTATCTTGGGAGTCTCATCAGTGCCGATTGCCTGGTGACGGACGAAATCTCAGCACGGATACAGAAGGCTCGATTGGCTTTTGCCAACCTGCGTCACTTATGGCGTAGGCATGATATCCGTTTGCTGACTAAAGGACGAGTGTACTGTGCAGTGGTTTGCTCTGTCTTACTTTATGGCTATGAAACATGGCCAGTCAGAGTAGAAGATATTCGTAGGTTACTGGTTTTCGATCACAGGTGTCTTCGAAGCATTGCTCGTATATCGTGTGACACCCGAGTGAGCAACGCTGTTATTAGGAATCGGGTGCTAGGTAAGAATGGCAGATCAATAGATGAAGTAATGAAACTTCATCAGTTGATGAGATGATAATAATCGATGGTTATAGACCTTGAATGACGTGACTCAAAATCGTTCGCAACGGCGCCGGTGCATTTATTCTTTGTGTTCTCGCAAATCCTAACCTTCTGGGTTCTTCAACAACTCTAGTTTTGAATTTCTAAACTTTTTTCACTGAATCATACTTCTTGAATAATATCTTCTAATCCTAACCTCTCCGATTACTTCTAATACCCTTACTACCTCTTCTACTATTGGATTTGAATTGACAATTATATCTTTGTGCTGATGTGGTATGGCAACATGAACTGATGTACTTACGTACGAAGTTCTACGTTGCATCTGACTGACTGACTGACTGGTGTAAGTATGGTATCGAGTCCTAAGTAAGAACTAGCTCTCTTAGACTGGGTCCTAGTAGGTAGTCGCTTATGCACTTTCCGACTAAACGGGACAGAGAGAACTCGTAAAGATAGGGACACTCGCCGTCGCCTCTTCATCGTCTCTGACTACGCTCCCAGTTACTGCAGTTCAGATGTGGTAAAGGATGAGCTCTACGGAAACCTTTCTGAAAGTTTGGCGCTCTGATATAATAGTAGTGGCTGTTGACTTTAATGCTCAAGTAGATAGACTGAGAGAAAAGAAAAGACACCTGGGTGGACCTTAAGATGTTGTGACTCAATGAACAGATTATAGCAACCGTCTGTCGCAGCTATGCTCAAATGACCGCTTATTTCTAGCAAATACTAACTTAAAGCACAAGGAAAAACATCATTTGACATATTGACCCCACAAAATCGACTCAACACTGAACTCACCTTGACCGCATTGCTATCAGCCACTAATGGAGAGACTCGGTAGGAGACCGTTTACATTCGGATCATGCTCTAGAGCGAGTGCGTATTCCTCTGCGTCTTACTGGACGTAAGAAAGACACGGATAGCGTTCTACTTAATGATAGGAACGCTAAGAATGAATTTCAGGAACAGCAAGAAAAACGGTTAGGCAGACATGCAGTAAGTGATGCCCATGCCGAGACAGCTTGGAATGATACCAGGAAAGATTTGGAAACAGCAATGATATCTGCTAGTAAGATAAACCACGAGGTAGGGGAGACGCTGTGGATTTGAGTAGCATCTGCCGAACTGATAGACGCTCGAAAACTCATTCTGTTTGACTCTGAAAATGACGTTGAGCGAAGTAGCTTAGGCGCAGGCTGATACGAAGCCTACACACTGATCGCGAGCAGTGGTAGGTAGCGAAAGCAAGAGAGATGGAAAAGGCAGCGGCGACGGGTAACAGTAGTCAACTATTCAGACTTACCAAGGAAACCGGTATTAGGAATCCGACTGTTAGTAAGACTATCTCGGACAAAGATGGGACTATTATTTATTGTTTATCGAGGAGATTGGATCGATGGGCATAACACCGCGGGGTCAGTTCAACTGTCCTTCAGTCGTACTTCAGTTACCCACGATCACCAGTCAACCCGAATGGGAAGTTGACGCAAATCGTCCGACTCTTAATGAGGTTGAATGGGCTATAGGAAATCTAAAACAAGGGAGAGCAGCAGGCCGTGATAGGTCAACCCCAGAGATTTATAATGATGGTGATCTAGTTTTAGCAGTAAGTTTGACCGAGATCTTAGGTAGAATCTGGGAACTGTGCATAGACCCATCTGATTGGCGTCAATCACTGATAGTCTCAGTCTATATAAAAGGATAAAGGTCCTCTTGTGACAATCGCAGAGGAAACAGTTCTACTGATATAGTGTCTAAGATATTAGCTTCAGTAAATGTTCGACGCCTAACTAGGGTTGAGTGAAAAGCAGACTCGAGAAAACCGGGCTGGTTTCCGACTTCGACGTGGCTGTATAGACCATGTATTCACACTACGACAGGTCCCAAAACGTAGACACACGTTCGGATGTCCCATAATAGTAGTATTTCTCGACCTTTTGATTCAGTTGATCGTGAGGTTCTATGGCATTACATGTCACTGAAAAGAGTACCAAGGAAGCACACTAACCTTATACAAGCTCTCTACTCTAACACCACTGAGCTTATGGAGAACTGTTATTGGAACTGGTTGCTTCAAGTGGAGTACATTATTTTCATTCTTATTCAACTTTGTCACGAATATGCTTTCAGAGACGACAACTTTCATCGTCCGACTTTACGGCAGTTGACCTTCTACCAGGCAATTCACTTGTCGGCTTAGAATGTGCCGATGAGATAGTTCGGTTTGGTGAAGACACTGACAAAATGCAGCGTCTTCTGACCACATTAGGCTACAACGCAAGTATGTATTGGATGCGATTCTACCTCTCCAAATGCAAAGTGTTGTAACTTCAGCCATTGGTTGGTTTGCGTTTAACTCGAAGGTACCTTGTGTGCTGGGGGATATTTAAGGAGCAGCGTATGAGATTATCTGGAAGAAGAAAGAACAAGAGAAAAAGATGAGCTAACGACTCAGTAAGCACATAGAATGCACTTACATGCAATATACTAATAAATTGACAGCAACCAGATATAAAGCCAGCGTGAGATTAGGACAAACTGATAAACGAAACGGGGAGTTGATAGAGTTTGGTTTCAAATGCGTTACAGTGTTGCTTCAGGATTGAGTTACTTTGGCACCTGAACTAGTGATGGGGAATGAAGTAGTTGATCGAGTTGACAGTTTTACTTATCTCAGCAGTCTAGTCAGTTCCGATGGCCTGGTGTGTGACGAAATCTCAACACAGAAATAGAAGGCTTGATTAGCATTGGGAAACCAGCGTCATCTATGACGTAGGCGGGATACCCATTCGCCAACCAAAGGATGAGTCTACTATGCAGCAGTTTGCTCCGTTCTACTTTACCGATGTGAAACATGGCCATTAAGAATAGAGGATATTCACAAGGTACTAGTATTCAATCGCAGATGTGTTCAGAACATCGCTCGTGTAAACTGGGACCGACCAGTGACTAAGCAATGCTGTGGTTAGGAATATGGTGCTAGTTGAGGATGGCAAAACGACTGATGAGGTAATGAATCGTCATAATTTGAGGTGGTTGGACTGACTATTTCATCTGTTTTGGCTCTGTAATCTGATCGGAAAGTTTGGCCTATGTTTTATTTCGATGTTCCTATTTGTTAAATGGGACTAAATAAATGGTGAACTACTGATAAGTAATATTGGGTATAAGCTTCATACGTCTTGAGATGTGCAGTTATATGATTCCTCACATGAGCCTGGTATGAACTTGACAGGACCAGGTTGGTTTACCAGTAAATTCTACATTTGATTTGTTAAAAATTTATTTCACTGAATTATACTCCTTGAATAACATCTTCGAACCATAATCCTTTTCATTACCGCTAATACTTCTACAACCTTCGCTGCTATGGGTTTTGAATTGAGAAATGAGTCTCTGTGCTAATTTATGACAACTTGAACTGATGTACGTACGCATGGCGTTCTACATTGCAGCTGGTTGATTGATAAAGACCATGTTTACTGTGACAGAAGATAGTTAAAATTCAGCTTGTATTGCAAATGCATGTTTCATGGTATGTATTTTATAAATAAACCGTATCTCCTGTAATTGATTGCTTGAATATATCTCATACCTCTACCCTATTGTAAGCGTTCACCATTTGCACATTCACTTCACATTATTCATAATAAGTATCAACGATGTGCTAAATGCCAAAATAACAGTAACACGATACTGTTTCATTTATATATATGGTTATGGTGCTAGTAGTTTTATATTTGACCTTATAGTTGGATATTTTTTCTCTTTCTGTTCAGTTGATAGCACCATAATTTAATTTACTGGCAGTAATTCTTCATCATATCAGTTAATTTCCGATACTTTTTTTTAAATGTTTATCTCAACAGTACTAAACTGTTTGAAGTATATTCGAATAAAATCCATAAATTAATCATTTTCAGACTTTTGTTCGTTGTGCCAATATTGATTTTTACTTCTGTAATTCTCAGTGATTGTGACACAACCACCTGCAACTGTATTCAAGTGGAATCCGGTGGGTATGACTTGTCCTTATTGTCATCGCAACATTGTTACTAAAGTCAGATCGGAATCAGGATTGTTAGCATGGTTACTGTGTGGGTTAATGTTTTTAACCGGGTGAGTTATAAACTATGCCTAGGTAATTTCAAAGTAAATTTCTTTATTAATTAGAAACAATTTTTAAATACAAAAATTTTTTAATAACACTGTCGGGAACGTTAGATCCCCAGAACTGACTTGGAAAAAATTCTAATTTTGTAATTTATTCTGAAATTTTCGAACCAGAGACGCTTAGTTGACCCTCAGCTTACATATCCCACCCGGAAAACCGTTGACTGTTATTGGTTGATGGGTTATTTTATTATGCTATTTTATGGCTCTCACCAAGGGCGTTTCTATCATTGTATAAATAAACTTGAGTTGATTGCTTAGCAACCTCGTATTTTCTGGGTGCCTGTAGAATACATTCTCGTTGCCTTATCCTTGTCTGAATCTTCAGGAGTAGACCTTTTACCAGGCGACTCGCTTATTGACTTAGAATATGCCGATGACATTGTCCTACTTGGTGAAGACGCTGACAAAATGCAGAGTCTTCTGACCACCCTAAGCAACAGTGCGAGCATGCTCGGGACGCGGTTTTCCCCCTCGAAATGCAAAATGTTGCTTCAAGATTGGGTTTCATCGGCACCTGAACTAGTGATAGGGAGTGAAGTAGTCGAACGTGTAGATCGCTTCACTTATCTTGGGAGTCTCATCAGTGCCGATTGCCTGGTGACTGACGAAATCTCAGCACGGATACAGAAGGCTCGATTAGCGTTTGCCAACCTGCATCACCTATGGCGTAGGCGAGATATCCGTTTGCTGACTAAGTCAGTCAGTCAGATGCAACGTAGAACTTGGTACGTAAGTACGTCAGTTCATGTTCCCATACCACATCAGCACAGAGATATAATTGTCAATTCAAATCCAATAATAGTAGAGGTAGTAAGGGAATTAGAAGTAATCGGAGAGGCCATTGAGAGTAGAAGATATTCGTAGGTTACTGGTTTTCGATCATAGGTGTCTTCGAAGCATTGCTCGTATATCCTGGGACACCCGAGTGAGCAACGCTGTTATTAGGAATCGGGTTCTAGGTAAAAATGGCAGATCAATAGACGCGGTAGTGACACTTCATCAGTTGAGGTGGTTGGGACATGTGTTGCGTATGCCCAACCACGGACTGCCTCATCGAGCTTTGTTTTGTAGTGTAGGAATTGGTTGGAAGAAAGTTAGGGGCGGCCAAACCAAAACATGGCACAAGTCCATGAACTCATTGACGAGTGGACTTAGCCATGTCGGTAATTGTCGACTACCTGGTTGGGGTCCGCGAGATGATAATAATCGATGGTTAGAGACTGTTGGTAACGGTTACTTAGATATTCTCTAGCTAAATCTTATTGCTTAGTATTCTTGACACAAAACACTGAACAAGTCCCCCAAAGTCAAAACACGGTTGAACAGGAAAGATTATATTCCAAAATAGCAAGGAATAAGAAGCCGGAGGTGATGGCGAAAGTCAAGGCAAAGAAGGCAAAAATAAATACAACGCTAGTCTATTTATAGCCTTCACATGAGAAAGCTTCTGGAAGAAAATTCACGTGATCGGCTGGATTAGATTTACCCAATCAGCATGCAGCTAATAATACGAGAATTTTCTGTCCTGTTCTCCAGGCTTCGATCAGGCGCTGATTGGATAGGAATTTAGCCAATCAGCGCGCAGCAACGTAGTCGTGCTTTAATTCCATCCGTGTCCCACTAACAGAGACCTTGAATAACAATGGCTCAAAACCGTTCGCAATGGCGCCGGTGCATTTATTCTCTGTGTTCTCTGAAATCCTAATCTTCTGGATTCTTCAACACCTCTAGTTTCGACTCTCTAAACTTTTCTCACTGAATCATACTTCTTGAATAGTATCTTCTAATCCTAACCTCTCCGATTCCTTTGAATACCTTTTCCACCTCTTCTACTATTGGATTTTATTGACAATTACATTTCTGTACTGATGTGTTATGGTGACATGAACTGATGTACTTACGTACGAAGTTCTACGTTTCATCTGACTGACTGACTGCCTTATCAAGACATTTTGCTCTCGCCAGCGGGGCCTGGGACAAATGGATTAGAATAGCCTATCGTGTTACTGTATAGTTGATCTGCTCTCTGTTTACCGAGTAAGGTGAACTCGTAATAGTTTCAAGCATATCAAACACCTAATAGATTATGACATCAATTCACTAAATGAGTCCTGTGTATAACTAATGGTGCTATCTTTTAGTGGAAATGGATGGTGGCTAGCAATGAAATTCAGAATGTGTATTTCTCTAACTATATATATCTTCATCCCAGAGTTGATCTTCTCTCCGGTTAACGAGTCAAAAATAGTATGAAACTCGCGTCTCAGATTCCACGGCCATTCACTATCCATCTGTGTTTAAAAATGTTTGTGATTTTATCGAATTGTCGAGGCAGTCTACACTTGATGCATTTATATCAACAGAAACTGATCGATTGCACTCCTAAAAATCAACGGAAAGATTCAAATTACTGATGGAAATGATTTAAAAGTATCATCGTTTAGTTACTTACGTTTAGCCACTTTTTTCTCCTAAAAAGAATTGATTAGTACATTGTTGTACTCTGTTTCTTCTCATAATATTACTTTTCTGCAGATTTCACTTTTATAAATTAACAAGTATATTTAGTTATAGATAGCTTTGTGTATTTTAACTATGAGATCTATTCAGATAATTATCAATATCGATTAAATAATTGCTATTTTAATTTAATTCCAATCTAATGATTGACAAGTTTACTTTTCAATATGTTTGTCTTAGACCTTATGAAACATGATACATTTTAATCGGTCAATAAATGTATTATTCGAAAATCTCTTGTAGTAAATATACTTTTTTTAATTCTAAATATTTAATATTCTAACCGTACTTATGTAAAGGTGCAGTTAACAGTGAAGTATCTCGGTTCCTACTTTCTTTTGGACAAAAATATCTTTTATCAATAATAATAAGAAGCTTACTGGCTAATTCATTCATTGGGCACTTGATATGTGACACACTCTAGGTGTACGGGCTACATAAACCTTTACGGTAATCCAAACCAGTATAGGTTTGTTGAATTACCATAGTTCTTGTATATCATTTAATAATACCTAATATATACTTAGAATGAAACTTTGAATTTTCTCACATATAAAATGTATTGTACATTATGAAATAACTCAGTAAATTAATTGTTTTCTTTTTAAATAATAGTAATTATTAGTATGATTATTATTTTATGCGATAAAGTAAAATTTTTTAAAAATCCTATCTGATTGGAATTCTTGAATTCGTTTATCATAAGAATCTAGTTAATGTAAATTTTGTGTGATTATTTTCACAATCTGTGTTTGTTCACTCATACTTTTCTCTTTTTTCTTTATAATTCTCTACTAGGTTATGGCTTTTCTGCCTTATACCATTCTATCTGAAATCGACACAAGATGTTATACATATATGTCCATTATGTAAATCACAATTAGGCTTCTATAAACCATTGTGAATAGATAAACATACAATTAAAAAAAGCTTACTCATCTACTTCCTCAGCAAATATGCATTAATCATATCTACATTTTTTGATACTGGTGATAATTAATTATGAGCTCTTCCTTTTTTGATAAAACAATATCTATGTTGCACTTTATTATTACTAGCATTAATATTGTTTAACATTCGTGAAACAAATTGGTTAGTTGATTGGTTGTGATCACCGTTAATCATCATTCCATATTGTTAAAGATACTGTATTTTGACTAATAAAAATTCAAAGATGTACACACACACATTTGCCTTCTGCATTTTGCTGTCTTGCTTAATTATACTTAATTTGAATATTACTTACTTACTTACTTTCGCCTGTTACCCCCAATGCAGCATAGGCCTCCAACCAGTTTTCACCAACCAACTCTGTCCTGGGCTTCCCTCTCCAGTTCTATCCAATTTTTGTTCATTCTTCTCATATCTTTCTCTATCTCTCGGCGTAGTGTGTTCCTTGGATTTCCTCTTTTCCTTTTGCCTTGAGGGTTCCATGTGAGGGCTTGTCTTGTGACCCAGTTAGGTGCATTCCGCAATGTGTGTCCTATCCACTAACACCACTTCTTCCTGATTTCCTCCTTCACTGGAAACTGACTTGTTCTCTCCCACAGTAAGTTGTTGCAAATCGTATCTGGCCAACGAATCCGAAGTATTTTGCGTAGACAGCTGTTAATAAACACTTGTATCTTCTGGATGATGGCTTTCGTAGTTCTCCAAGTTTCCGCTCCATACAGTAGAACTGTCTTGACATTTGTATTCAAAATCCTGATTTTGATTTTTGTTGAAAGTTGTTTGGAGTTCCAGATATTTTTCAACTGTAGAAATGCAGCCCTTGCTTTGTCTATCCGCGCCCTCACATCTGTATCGGATCCACATTTCTCGCCGATCATGTTACCCAGATATGTAAATGTGCCATCAAGAGTGATTTGGTTGGTGCATGTTGTCTTGCATCGGAGAATTTTGCTTTTTCCTTTATGTATTTTGAGACCTGCTGCTGCTACACTGGTCGTCTTCTCTTGGATTTGTTGTTGCGTGTGCGATAGAAGAGCCAGGTCATCTGCAAAGTCCAGATCGTCCATCTGCGTCCTAATTGTCCAGTTGATACCGTGCTTCCCTCCAGATGATGACGTCTTCATAATGCAGTCGATCACCAGGAGAAAGAGAAAGGGTGAGAGTAAGCAACCTTGCCTGACACCGGTCTTCACCTCGAAAGAGTCTGTTAGCTGTCCTCCGTGTACGACTTTGCAGTTGAATCTATCATAAGAATTCCGTATTATGTAACCTATTTTCTCAGGCACACCGTAGTGTCGACGAAGCCTCCACAGTGTTTTCCTATCCACGCTATCGAATGCTTTCTCGTTGATGTAGAGTAGTGAGTTCCATCCTATTGATTGTTCCACAATGATCCGTAATGTAGCGATTTGGTCAGTACACGATCGATCCTTACGAAATCCGGCCTGTTGATCTCGAAGTTGGAACTTCGTGACGTGTTGAAGTGATTGCCTCCTTGATCCCTTTCCAATTGTTCTCCAATGTTGCTTCCTCTCCATTGAGTATAACGTGCAAGGCTTGGAACCTATTGGTGAGGGCTATCCTGAATTCGTTGAGCTTTACATTATCCCGAAGAAAGGCCGTATTAAACTTGTGTGATGTCGTCTGCCCCGTTGTCCAGTGCTTTTTGAGTCTCAGTTTCATTTTGGCGATTAGCAAGTGGTGATCTGAAGCTATATCAGCTCCTCTCTTGGTTCTCACATCCTCCATGGTCCTTCTGAACGTTTTGTCGATACAGATATGGTCAATTTGGTTTTGAGTAGTGTGATCCGGTGAAATCCATGTAGCTTTGTGAATGCGTTTGTGTGGGAATATTGTGCCACCGATGACCAATTTGTTGAAGGCACATAGGTTTGCAAATCTCTCACCATTTTCGCTCCTTTCTCTCAGTCCCTGTCGTCCCATGATGTCTTCATATCCTGTGTTGTCCATGCCAACTTTGTCATTTAGTTCTCTCATTAAAATCGTCAAATCCTTTGATGAGCATCTGTCGACGATTGACTGCAGCCTTTCATAGAATTGATCTTTAACGTCATCATTATAGTCATTGGTAGGTGCATAGCATTGGTTGACGTTTAATTGTAGTGTCCTCTTTCTTTGTTTTGAAGGATGCTTTGATGATCCTCTGTCCATGAGATTCCCATCCTATCAGTGCCTTTTGTGCATGTTTGGACAGCATCAGTGCAACTGCTTAATTAATTAATCTTCCAGTCTCCCACAATGTACGAACGTTCCATGTACATAAAAGAATGATTGCTCCGGTTGTGAGAAGAGGCATCGGCCCCGTGACTTCCAAGGGAACTCGGCTTTCATCACGCGACGTCATAATTTTTCTTCCAACTCCCAGGGTAGAGTTAAAATGGTTTGAATCATTTTTTCTGGTTAGCGTTTTTTTGGCAAGTTATATTTTAGTTGGGATGGGGGCGCTAACCCCCTTCTTCTTTATCTTGGCTTGTGACCGGCAGTAACCCCGAAGGGCTTACAGGCGGAGTCAATTTGAATATTATTTATATATATATACTCAACGGTTGAAATCTTTATTGGCTTACAATTTTCCATATTTGGGGTATGAAACATTGTATTTTGTGGTTTTAGATAACGAAATTGCTAGTTTCAGCACCTAGAAAGAAATGAATGTCAAATTTTCCCTTGCTTCACTCAGTTGGTAATATTCCACAAATAATCAGCGGACAATATTAGCTTGTAAGTTTACTGTTTACCTAAATTTTAGCTGCATGGAAATTTTCGAAAATCCTATTTGCTTATTAATAAGTCAAGTAGCTTTTTGGCAGACTGTCAACAGATTACTTAAACATCCAGTAAGAGAATTCAATACTTCACTATTAACAATAGGTATTTAGGAGTAACAAGTGATACATGATCAGTGATGAGAAGTGACATTCGGTAAGAAAGCTGAAATTTCTAGGTTACATCTTTTTTGATTCTTTCTTTTTGATCCCTTCTTAATCATTCTTCATCACTTTCGTGAATGATCTTAAATATGTACTGCTACCAGCGGACCACCGCTTTTATACTGTAAATTTCTTCATTACTTATAAGTGGTTAATAAAGAGGTTATTAAAGAAGGATTACTTATTCTCTTAATCCATGTTTTCCGAGTATATAGGGAATTTTCAACTAGTAGTGAGCTCGTATTGACATCTTCAACATAGATTCACCACAAATATAAAGTCACTATTCGTAGCAGTACAAACTGATTCACTTGTAGTTTAATGATGATGATATTCAGTTTCCGCTGCTTTCACTTGGAACATATTCGTCTCCATTTTATTAGATTTTAATGAAATTGTTTATTAGAGTTTTGTGCTTGCTTCATGTCTGTGTTATTGTTTTCGTTTGTAAGCTACTGAACTTGAAATATGTTCCAGGAGTAAATGCATTTGTTCTATTGTGAGAACAAGATATAGTATTTCCCAGATTTAATGAAACACTGCATTTTCAAAATTACGCACATTGGTAGTATTAAAAAGCGAACATTTGATGGCGTCTTAATAAGAGTATCTGGAAATCTTTATGTTTAAGCAGTATTCACCATTTGAATACTTTTTGGATGTTGATCACACGTCGAACTGGATCAAGTGGGCACACATATACTTCCAGATATTCATTTGGTAAAGGTTTAGGTAACCCACACTGAAAACCCTAGTTCGAACAACTGAAAACACAATATCTAAACCTAGCGTTGATGAAGAATTTCCGTTAAGATTTGTGAAGTCAATAGTTTGTTGGCATCGATAATTATACAAACGACGTCTAAAATGATGGAGAATTGTAGCTTAAGTGGGATCTCCTTTTTGTTGAGTTGTCTTGCTTGAGCTGGACGGTTTGATTGCTTACTGGAGAATAGCAGTCGGTTCATACTAATCAACACCGTTAATTCATTTTCTTGTCATTCCTGTTTACTTATTTCCATGACATTTTTCTAATACTTTAGTATGGAATTAGCACACTAATTGACAAATATCTTCAAGATTTACTTTATTAACAAATATTTTCATATACTCTACATACCACATCAATATATGGACTAGGTGACGAATAAAAATAAACGATTGTCAGTCAAATAACAGAACTTCATTTTACCTTTTCTCTATCTTCGTAAATTAACAGTAAAAGAAAATGGATTCCTTGAGAAACTTATGACAAAACATTTAGCCAAGAATGTAGATTAGACGAAGGCCCTACCTGTTGAGTGAAAACTTTAGCGTTTTTCTACGTACATTATCATAAAGTTGCACAGGGAAATTCAAAAAACCTTTCTTTCAGGGTAGCTATTGATAGTATTTTCGAAACGTCCGTTGTTTAATCCGATTTACGCCTGTTGCTCCTAATCGGGCAACAACAAGCATTCTCCAACCTACTCTGTCCTACGCCTTCCTTTCCAGTTCTATCCGATTGTTGCCCATTATTTTCATGTTCGTCTCCATTTCTCGGCGTAATTTGTTCTTTGGTCTTCCTCCTTTCCTTTGAACATGAGAGTCCCAAGTCAGAGATAGTCAGTCAGAGTCAGTCAGATGCAACGTAGAACTTTGTACATAAGTACATCAGTTCATGTCGCCATACCACATCAGCACAGAGAAGTAATCGTCAATTCAAATCCAATAGTAGAAGAGGTAGTAAGGGAATTAGAAATAATCGGAGAGGTTAGGATTAGAAGATACTACTCAAGAAGTATGATTCAGTGAGAAAAGTTTAGAGAGTCGAAACTAGAGGTGTTGAAGAATCCAGAAGATTAGCATTTGGGAGAACACAGAGAATAAATGCACTGGCGCCATTGCGAACGATTTTGAGCCATGTCATTCAAGGTCTCTAACCATCGATTATTATCATCTCGCGGACCCCAACCAGGTAGTCGACAATTACCGACATGGCTCAGTCCACTAGTCAATGACT